AGACGAAACCGTCGGTCGTGGAGTGCAGGGATAGGAGAGAGCCACACCGAAACCCTCCACTTCGGTGACGGTCCCAGTGACCGTTTTGGCAGAGGCTGACTTCCAAGTCAACCGCCGCCACTAATGAGATTGCGTGTCGCAATCCAAGACACACGGCGGGTGCTCCAAAAAACCCGAACATCTACTTCTAACCGCTGTGTCAAACACTGCTCGCGGAACTCAATGGCCTAGTGATCATGGCGATAGCCGCCAAGCACTATGCCTCGGGTTCCACTCCTAGCTCAGCTATCTCTACCTGATGAGTCTAAAGCAAGACGAAACCGTCGGTCGTGGAGTGCAGGGATAGGAGAGAGCCACACCGAAACCCTCCACTTCGGGAAGAAAGTCAATACCAGCGGCAGCTGGGCTACATTTGCAGTCAAGTAGACCATAAAATGAGCAGCCGCATATTTCGCTGCCACATCCAATGTTAGTGGAAGAGGCGATAGGGCACTGGTAAGCAGTAGATCGCCGGGTCTCCCAACCACGACCCATGGCCCTCAGCATGACCTTCAACAACGACAGGATGTCTTAAGCATACTATATACTGACGTTCCAGATTCAACGCCGAATTCCTTGTAAGGAAAGCAGTTTGACGAACGGAGCCAATGGAACACCATACGAAAGCTACTTGGTATTCCGACTAAGCCCATATTTCGGACGAAAATTACCAGTCGCCCAGATTTCAAGCCATATGGTAAAGCCAGGCTACTTCGGATTGTAAAAGCTCTGTAGATGTAATGGGAGTTGTTTTGTTTTTGACAGATCACTACCGGAAAGATACTGTTTGCTCCGCGTCTTTCCAGCCGCTTCGTGAACCCAACGAAAGCGGGGGAAATGAAGTCTAGAAGAGCACTGCGTGTGCAATGTGGCAAGTATCGATTTTTTCCTATGAGTCCCTTGGTCGCTGAGCATGTGGGGTACAAAACAAAGACTCACGACCAGCAGCAGTGTAGCTACATTTGTGAGACCATGTTCCTGGAAGACGTTACAGATGCTTATATCTCAAGGATATCCAGAAAAGCAAGCTGCAAATGGTGCGACTCAAAGATGATGAAGATGGTGCTTCATACCATGCAGGTTTCATTTAGTGTACTGGGATGCTAGCGGTCACACTGAAAGAGAATCCTAACCGAGCTTTGGTACGAAGCGGTGAACGACACTGTCGCCCGGCTTAAAGTACCACCATTGTAGGCAAAGGAAGTGAGGATCCTGTTCGAACCGCACGCTGGTAACAAACCTGAAACAAATAAGGTTCTTTCTGTACAATGCTGTGGCCATGCCTCGTACACTGCGCAAAATGAGTCGGAAGAGAGTACAATGCTGCCAAACCGAAATCCCAATCTGTCACCGAGAATGATAAATTTGGCTAGCAGCCGACCACTCAAAGGTACGCGCAACCTCCTAGCTGAACAACAACTATTTCGATTCAATGCTGATAAGTAAAATCCTTTTGCGCATGTCCAACAATACCATAAACCTCATGAACAAACTCCTCGAGTTTCACCTAGGGACCTCATTTCAATAGCTGAGACTTGGTTGCGCGCAACTGTTACGGGTACCGAGCTCGCGATGCAGTGAATGTCGTTGTTCCTAAACAATCGGCCTGGTAGCAGAGGTGGCATACTTCTGTAGTATCGCAACGACATACAATGTGAGTCTGTGGCTGATCAGGAGACACGCGTCACCAACTCACTGTTGTACGGTTGATTTCTCAGTTTGGATGTTAATTGCTTCGCGGCAGTCATGTATCTCCAGAATCGATGGATTCCTGTCTGCTGTCGGCCTTCACAGTGCTTACTATCAAATTACAGCCACGTTCCTATCTCAACTTATTTCAACGTACACAATTTGGAAATTTCGGCATCCTCTAGCAAATCGTCTAAGGCGGAATCACAAAACACAGTACGAGTATTTTACTGCACAATCGCATTAACTTACTTACCAGGTACATCGCTGACAACAAACAATCGATACTAGACCTCGTAGTTACAAATGAGAAACTCATGATCGCCCGATCACTAACAGACACCCCACTAGGGCTAAGCCCTCATGTTGCCGCATTTTACAATTGGGTATTACGCTGAATATCTAGAGGAACACATTGAGCCAGAGTGCACCGTCACATACTACCTCATCCTAACAGATCTGGTTGAGATGATCGGTTAAGACTACTTGAAAGATGGTTCCTTGACAACATCTGGATACAGTCTGTTGGACGTTTTCGCAATCCGATCGTAACTGCTTCAGCTAAATAGTGGGTTCGCTCCACCCAGCCATTGTCGTTCATGAGAAGCAGAACTCAAAGACGCATTTCGGTAAGGATAGTAGATTAATGCGCTTACAGAGCCAGTCCTTGTCTCGAAAGCAGTAATATCTACTTGATCGAGTGCAACCACTGTAATTAGTCTCTTCGTGAAGACAAGTTGGCACATTAAAAAATATTTGGGTTACAAATGTTCTAAAAACAAAAAGCAAATATACAAGCATCTCATCATTAGACATAAATTAGGACACGGTATTCTTACACAACTTGACGGTCGGAACGACACAGAGCGCTGAAGAAGCAGATACTGTTCCATGCACACCGTATGTCCCGACCCTTCAACAAAACGTCTACCAAGGTTACATACCCACATACATCGTCAAATTTGCAGTAATTACTAACCTTACCTTTAATTCCACAACTCTGTTGAGGAAACTGCTCTCACATTGCACCTACAGTTCTCCTGGAGTCGATTAGATTCACCCGAGGCCACCAAACGTTGCAGAAATAATGTTGCCCGCACTTCCTTCAAAGGTGATTGGGTAAACAACGGTGCCTATTATGTCTAAACACGATCTAATAAAGCAATTTTTTAAAGTGATGTCGTTCGGAACCCGCGAACTATCACCAGTTGTCATCCTCACTGTGGCGTCAAAGCTGATGGGAGCAATCCTCGCGGAGACTTTAGCGGATCATCTAATACGCTGCAACCTCATAGCACCGGAGTAACACGGCTTTCTTCAATACCGATCATGCGCAAACAATCTACTGATTGCACGCGGTAGTTTGACGGCGGTGGCCAACAGTGGACAGGGACTGACATCAGTCAGCTACACTTCTCCAGGATCATAGATTACCTGAACCACCGCATTTTGATTCACAGTCTCAAAATCAATAGAGTCTAGGATCCTGTCCTTGGATGGACTGAAACTATTTTACAGCAGCTACAATTGCGTGTTAGAGTACAGAATGCGCTGTCCGATCCGATTCCCATCGAGTGCGGAGTTCCGCAAAGATCAGTGGTGGGGCGGCGTCTGTTCCCGGTATTTATTAATGGGATTACGCATCTGAGTGTTTCGGATTTTTTTAATTATGATGCTTATGTTATGGTGTGGCGGGCGATTATTGGCTAAGGAGATCAAGATGCACTTCAACAAGAAGTGGACAGCGTAAGTTGAATTTCATTCTATGACCTGTTCCAGTTTAGCTCGTCCAAACATAAGGTGACCTATATTAGTCACCAGCCAAACAGCCTGGAGACCTAGGAGCGCGACTTTGGTATTAATTCAGGTTATTCTGGGCTTCCAGCGCCACCTGAGAAAACTTTGAAGACTGTGTACCAACATCATCGGATGTTGTGTAGGGCATTCGGTCGGTTTAATCCATCTTTCTGCTCGCAGATGCTTGGTGGCTACGTACAGTCTCATGTGGAATACGCAATTCAGGCTTCAGCTGTAGCATCAGCAACATGTCGCCACGCTTGAGACTTTACAAAGAACAGCCACTTTACGGATCAACTTAGCTTCAGGATCCTACAATTTCACGGTGGTCAGTTTCGGCACCTATTGTGCCACCTAATAATGACCTTCCAGATTCTGGAAAAACCCAACCACGTCTGATGCCACCTACTGAAACTTAATCACGATGAAGACCAGAGAAACTAGTTCCAGTTGGCTAGGCAATACAACCGATTAGAATGCCGCCAGAACTTACATGCTTCTGCTCTAAGTCGGCCCTGGAAGATCCTTTTTAATTACGTGGTGCCGCTCCCACATTATCTGCATTTAAATAACACTTGACGTTGCTCTAACCCACTTACATTAGGAAATGCATCAAGTGTACATCGAGAGATGATATAACGGGATAAACAATGCACCAACTAACGTTCGCCTGCATGCCTCAATGGGAAGACCATGGTAAGTCCCTTAAACCGAGTTTCCTCTTGTCACCACGAAGCTCAATGTTCTAGTGATCATGGCGATAAACGCCAACCACTATGTGCCAGATTCCACTCCCAGCTCAGGCTATCTCTACCTTAGTACTCCAAACATGCATGAGAGACGGCAACACTGAAATCTTCCACTTCGGTGACGGTCCCGCTGATCTGATTGACAGAGGCTGATTTCAAAGTCAACCGAGATCACATGTGAGATTGCGTGTAGCAATATAAGACACACAGCAGGTACTCCAAAACTCGAAAACCATATTTTCCTCTTCCATTTTATGATTCCTATCCCACAAGGCTTAATGAGCAATATTTAGGCGTAATTCACCGTTGTGAAGAGTGTTCGAGAGAGCAACACACAAAACCTGTTAGCTTCATTAACTACGGTCCAAGTGATCGAACTGACGAAAGTTGACTTAAAGACGAATTACGGTTCACACAGGCATTGCGCGTCCCATTTTAATAACATAACAAATGCGTCAGAATGACCCTCCAATTACCATTGTTCCATCATAAGAGCCGTACGCTTGTTGGAAAAGGGATACGTTTCCAGGCGTAAGCGCTATAAATGTTATATACTTGGTGCATTTCAGCAGTGCACGACCTGTCGAACGATCCTCGTTCCAGTCGGGGATGGATGGGCATAGCACGCTACTAAATAACATTCCGAATGGTACTATGGCAATGGATCATTAATAATGCACCCACAATCATACTTGTACGCAAAGAATGTAAAAGTACACATTCATATATAACAAATCTCATCGTAATTCTCATCAGCGACTACGGAAGACAAGTCACATTGATTACAAATGTCACATCGCAGATAGTTGTACAGATGACAAAAACACCAGCGTCTTCAGATTTATTTAAGAACCTATGTAATAAGAGCAAGTATTCAACACCCGGGAGTGCAACGCATTATTCATACTCGCCCCAAATGTATCGTTGTTGTGTTATTCATCGTCAAAATGAACGATATAAGCACGCTGATGATGCAACATGGTCCAGTTGATTGGCAAATAATCAGAAGGGATTTATTTACACTTTGATGAGGGGTATTCAGATAATGAACTGCTATAAGAACAAAGACTTCGGTAGCTATGGTAATGGTCCACTGCTCAGCCATCTGTAAGTTGCTCCATCCAATTGGGATTCTTAAAAAACTCTGGTACTGGTTGGTCCATGCGAGCAATTATCTTGTAAATTGGCTTCTTCCATGACTGCTCGGCATCTTTTCCATTCATCAGGGCGTTGAAGAACTCACGCAAAGTTGCCTCCACGACAACCCGGAAATGATCTGGTACCTGATACGCACAGTGCAACGGTGAAATGATAATCGTGTTACTTTATACGCAGCCACAAGTTCTGGTTGTTTCGAGCAGAGTACGCAGCTACTCATTGTTTATTTTATTGAAAAACTGCTCTATGTAATGTACTATAAGACGAAGCTTTGCTACTCATACTGTCTGTTCCGTTATCAAAGATTAGGAAGCTGTACTTATTCGGCGAACATAGATGCTCGATTTTTCGTTGACTTCACTTCGATGTCTGTGGAGCGGAGACCGGGTCCAATCTGCTAGGCCTGATCATCATACTGATCATACGTTATCTGCTTACATAAAATTATTCTGGCCCACTACGGCCACGATTCCGTGAGAGTATCACAAGTTGGCAGTATGTGTAATCTGACTGAGGCCCACCTCCGCGGTAATCAGCACACATGAAGGAAACGGGTCACTGTCAGAACTGGCCATCCTGCGGTTCATCAAACTTCCGGGGAACAATTCTACTAGGTTATAATATATCGTTAACTTCATCCTATTAATACACCAAGCATGTACACGTTATAGAAGGCTGATAAGTGGATCATAAGTTGGACGCGTTAAATACAAATGCATTAAAGAAAACTGACTATTATTTTTCTCATCAGCGAGCTAGAGTAAATCTGCCTTGCTAAAGTAAATCTGATTAAGGAATAAAGCCCCAAATGGATGGCTATAAAGAGCTTCTGTTAGGTTACATTTCCGCAGCTGTAACATAGGACGCAATCCATCTCAAATTTCGACATTACTATTTCACAAAGATGGACTTACCTCAAGCTGATGGTTTCGATTGTAGTGTAAGTTCAAGGCACGGTAGAGTTCCGACTCCGTAGTCACATGAATCTCGTCTGGCGTACGCACACCTTCAGATATGGCAACTCTTGCAAATTTTTCCATTTGAATGTAGTAAAATTCCCTAGATACGAAAGAACGGAAGGGGACTTGAAAGGGAATTGTTACAAATAGCTCGGAGTCATTGTTCGTGTAAGTAATTAGACTGAATATTCTATGAAACGATAAACAGAGCGTATTCGATAAAGCTATTTATACTGGAAGTAAGGCTGCTAATGTTACGGGTAATCTATTTCAAGCGTTAGCTGAATACTTTCCTGTCGGCATGCTACTCAGGCGCATCAAATAAGTGAAAACTCAATGTTTTCAAGCGAACATATGTTTTCAATAATTCTTCGTCAGGCTTGTACAATTATATGCAAAAAAATAACCAAAATATAGACACAGCACATGGACTGGTAAAGCACTCAGTTCACAGTCATTGATCACTTTCAGTCACTGCCCCCTAGAACACACTTGTAGCAAGTGCACAATTCCTTGGTATGGACGGAGTAGTTCGTCTGGGCCAAGTCAAGCACAGCGTGTGAGTGAATCTTTTCTGGCCCAGACGAACTACTCCGTCCATACCAAGGAATTGTGCACTTGCTACAAGTGTGTTCTAGGGGGCAGTGACTGATAGTGATCAATGACTGTGAACTGAGTGCTTTACCAGTCCATGTGCTGTGTCTATATTTTGGTTATTTTTTTGCATATAATTGTACAAGCCTGACGAAGAATTATTGAAAACATATGTTCGCTTGAAAACATTGAGTTTTCATTTATCAATGGGATTTTTACTATTGCATCAAATAAGCATGATCACTGAACTAGTTAACTATAAGTCCGATATTTTTAGGACTTGAACTGCTCAATAAGTTCATACACCATCGGCTCCATAGTAGCACATATATCGTTGCAAGCAGGCACAATTCTTCAGCTGCATCAGAAAGCACAGTTTGTGTAGTATAGTAGTTCTGAAGTGATCGCCCATTACATTGTAGTGCACTAAATTTATACAGGAATCCTCGGTTTCATGTTCCACCCTTATTGCCGCTCACATTGGTCACCACCCACACCCTGTACGTCTCGGGAACATAATTGAACAACAATCTTCTGTGATGGCGATAGACAACTATTTCATATTTAGCGCGATTTGCTGGTTCTGTATACACTCGGCACCACCTAGAGAGCAAGCTAATGCTGTACCGATTGCTAGGCATAGACTGTTAACCCTGAGCCTAGGAGGATCCTGATAGTTGATATGGCTCAATATGGTCTTAATGGGTGCCAAGGGGTAAGGTCGGATCTTTATGTAGCTTTGAGATAATCGAAAGAGGCTAGTCAGTAGCCGGATTGGTGAACAAGAATTGCCTCCATGTCTTGACAGTGGCAGCGATTTCAACTGGTGTCGAGAAACAACCTAAAACTCACAACAGCCTGAGTGCATATTTTGAATGACAGTGTCACGAGCCAAACCTATGCAACGGCCCTGTCTAAAGCCCCAGTTTTCGGAGTTGAGCCAAAGTGAAGTACGCTAAAAAAGTTCGTCTGAGTTCCCATTATTCATGGGCACCTGATTGCATTTCGGCTGAATGCTCTGCATGGAGTCTAGCCCACCGTCAGCTAACTGTTCCTGATTCCATTTGACGGGTCATCACAATAAGGGTTAGAGTTGTACGGATATCGAATGTACAAGGGGCATTATCATTAAACAATGACCTGTTGGTGGATAAGAATTCGTTACATTTTCATTGATCCTGGATGTCATTTTTTCTTGGCGCATGCTGACGACATTACCGTACTCTGTAACAGCTTGCAAACATGCCAAACAGCACTGACTGTCAATCGTTATGGGCTTAGTTTTCGTCCCTCGAAATGCAAAGCGCCTATCCAAGGTTGGCAAGGACCCATCCCTGCGATGAAGCTTGGTGGTGATCAGCTAGAAGTTGTCCAAGCATTCGAATGCCTAAACAGCTATATTAGCGCTTGTGAGATCAAGGATGAGGTCGCGAACCTTACAGCAAAAGCTCGAGTTGCTTTTGCCAATCTCCGACACCTGTGGAACCGAGGTGAAATCGCTTTTGCATGGAAGAGAAGCGTTTACAATGGAGCAGTCCGTTCAACCCTCATATATGGTTGTGAAACCTGACCCACCGAGTTGACAGATATAAACAGACGAGTTACTTTCGATCATCGCTGCCTTCGCAGCTTAGCTCATGTCTGGGGGAGCACCGCGTGAGCAAAGAATGCGTTCCGCGTCGTGTAGTTGATATGGGAAGAACGAGTGAGCCTATCAGCACCATTATATCACGCACCATGTTCCGATGACTGGGCCAAGTGTTGTGCTGCCAGCCCACCGACTCTTGCGACGTGTATTGTTTGCGGGCCGGGGATGTGGATGGAAGGGGAGAAGCGGAGGCCATGCGATGACCTAGCCGAGGGAAAGTAAAACCCCTACTCCGAAGTTGGCGTCGGTTGGCGCATCCAGTCTGCCGGGCTGGGGGTCCTAAGAATGATGAACGCGTTTGTTTCTACACACTGCTATGGCGAAGAGCCGGTCCCATTGCTATTCCTGTTGTGATTTTCTTTGTCCATTCCCTCCGTTTTAGACGTCCCCTCCCATTTCGATCTCATATATAACACATAATATGATGTGGGACGTTGTTACTTGATTATTTAAATATTTTAGAATCCGTACTTTTTTGTATGTTGCCTTTTTATTGCGGCGCATTAGTTGAGGAGTGTTTCTCACACTCAGGTAGTGTGTATTGGTGACGAAGATCATTGTCATTCACACAAACTGTCCATTTGTTTTAATGCTCCCTCAGTACCCTTGTCTAACCCGGCTACGCCGTGGCTGGAAACAGCTTCATTGTACCTCAACTGCTCACAATTGCTTTGAATCAAAAGTTGACGCTGAAATGTCACTAGTCGGCACCGTTGATGCTAACCAAGTATTAGCAGCACAAGCTTTTAGCTGCGGTCGTAGGCTGCACGCAGTAAGTGAGACCCATGTTGTGTTGGACGTCTCCGGTTGCGTGGAACCATTGCCTAAACCTGTCATTTAAGCACACTGCAGAAGCGAATTAAAAGACTAGCCTTTCTGATGAATTTAATTTTAACCGTGCCTACTAAGTACTCAGGATTCTAAAGTTCGCACTGGTTCCGTCGGTTATTACTGTGCCCCAACGACATCGATAAACGAAGCAAGGCAATTCTGGTAGTTTGATCGGCTACATTGTGTGGATGCTCCCTACGTTAATTGTTGCAGGTTCGACCATATTTGGGTTATGGTATTTGAAGCACGGGTACTGCTGTCCTTTAGCAAAACAATTATTCCCATTGCATTCATGTGAATCAAGACCAGAAATCAGTTGAGGGTTAAGAATTCTTTTCAGTAAAATCTCTTCAGACCCAAACGTTTACGTAACGCTGAGTGTGTGGGGTAAACTTACTCAATTGCTGAAGGAAAGCATTGCCCGTGATTCAAATCCCGTTACCCAATGAAATGTATGAGCCTTGTTAACGTAGGGCGCAACCACTCAACGTAGTCGATCGAACTAACAGAATTGCCTTGCTTCGTAAGGTAAGCTTATTCCACACAATCAGCGTTATGTAAGCGTTTGGGTCTGACGAGATTTTACCGAAAAGAATTCTTAACCCTTAACTGAGTTCTGGTCTTGATTCATATGAATGTTATGGGATTTGGCCCAAAGACACGTTAACTTTTCGTTACAGCATAGTTAACATGGCTTACGCTCATTGTGGGTACATGGCGAGTCAGTTCCGGTGTGAAATCTCAAAACACTTGAGAGCTCGTCATGTGTACATTTCTATAGACTACCTTATGCACAATGTAGCAACTAGGAAGCGCTGTCTACAGCTAACTTGCATAGATCATGGGAAGTAAAACTCCTCATACGGATTAATTCGATCATTAACAATTATCCTACCGGCTTTTCAATAATGATAGCTTGTCTGTTTAACTAAAGATACAAAGGGGATAATGTGCTTGCTACCTTACATGACTCAGTCATCAAAGCTGAAGCTCTGAAGATTCATATGCGGGCACATTATGCGATAATCCTAGCCCACTCTTCTTTCGCATGCGAGTAAAACCACCAATTACAGCTAACTTGACTTGTGTTACTCCAGGCTATTTTGCATGAGTGTGTGCTACCCGTCTGAGTTTGGTTGGTGGTTACAATTGTTTTATCCCCTTTGTACGGTTCTTCTGTTTCCGTCAGCCTGCCGCCTTCGTGGTATCCCTGATCTGTACCGGGATCAAAAACAGAATACTCATGTTCTGATAGGAAACAACGGTGAAAACCCCAAGCAATCTTCTCAACCGTAGGTATTGCATTATTGCATAACCTTGAACTATTGGCAACTTTGCTTGCAAGAGCACTTTTAACATATAAATACAATCATTCCCTATATGGACACGAGAAATATAGGTATTACCATAGCATTAACCTCTCATCCACAAATCTAACAGGCGGAGACGCTCCGAGCTGTATTCGGGTGAATACCGCTGTTGGGTTTCTGATAAGGCGAGTACATGAGCACTGATACGCATGTATTCCTCTTGTCTGTTCGCGTTCATGCATCAGGACGATGCCAAGCACCGCATCATAGATGAACCGAGCGATCGGTTGAGCTACTCTCACCAATTCGATAGATACGCCACTGTCGGAGTAGCTCAGGTCTTGTTTGTGAAGTCACCTCTTAACCGGGCTTGCTGTGCGTGTGCATAACACTGCGCGCGCGCGCGCTGCTTTATCTGTTCTGCTTGTGATTCGGGAAAGAAGCGAAATTGTTCATCATGAGTTCCACTCCAACATTCGGCATTAAATACATCTCAACTACTGTCAAAACTAAAGGTCAATAGTTGTCGTTGTAGTGTCTCGCCGATGAGCATCTTTGTCTTTCGCCGTCACCGTCAGACTAGTAAATTGCCGTGAGTTTCATCCTACGTCGGAGAAGGCAGCTTGATTTGACACCTGTGCAACCTAGTGGGTCATAAATCCAATGAAGCAGTACAGATATTTGTAAGCTTCGGTGGTGTCAGGCATAGTTGTGCTCAATTATACAGCCATTTCACGTCTGTGGAAGTATCGAGCTGTCGTTTATGCTTCTTGGAACTATAACCACTGCGTATTTTCGTCGATCGTATGGAAAATTGAATCGGCACCTCTCTTCTTGTGTGAGAACGATTATAACCAGTGGTCCCCTGCTAGAGAGATAGAATGGATGCCCGTATGTAAATAGCTGTAGCATAACGTAACAGTTCTTTCATCAACCTTTCATTGCTTATAGTCGAACCAAAGTACCACCGTTTTTTGGGGGAATTTATGAACTCCATTTCAGCCTATAGCTCTTACGCGTTGAATTATATGTGGAAGTTCCAGGAGCAATTGAATACCTTTTGTCATTACTTTGTCGGCTACAGTGTACTAAAGAGGTCGTAAAATTACCCACTAGCGTTTGACACCAAACCCTAACAGTAGCAACCTAATGGTAGAACATCACTGGAGTGGAAGTTCCATTAAGGTGAGCTCCTGCAGTAGGCCACACGTAACACGGCGATTAACTTCTAATCGGTTGTGTTTCCTATTTACTCACGAAGCGCACTTAAGTGGCAAAACAAATACCACTCAGGATTTACGAGATTGTCGGTAAAGCAGCTTGCGGTAACCACCGCATCGTTTGTGCCCAATTTCCGGGCTAAAACACCATATTAAATGTTTTCTCAGACTGCCGATTGTCTGAAGAATTGCTTTTCTTTGGACACACCCACCCCTCTAGCATCCCATCCATCCACCTACCCATCTAACCAAGCATGCACACCCCATTAAAACCAAAACGCTTATGGGCGGGTGTGCGTACGCCTAAGCTTTATCTGAGAGGCTGTTTCGAGGTAAAGTGGTTGTAGCTCCAGTTGGGACAAAAAGCTGTTAGATTTGGTAATTCAGCTAATAACCCAACGATGACAGAGACACATCGTCTACCCCTTGCATCTCCTGGTAGCTGTCATTCTTCCTTCCGACTGTGAAAACAATAAGATGGCAGTAATGGAGAAGCCCAGTGGGGTGAGGTCTGTAAAAAGACCTCTGCTCAAATGAAACACGAACAGCTACCACAAGCATTGTGTGATGAACAGTCTTTAGCCATCTTAAACAACCTATGCGTGGGCATGATCTGTGTGATACAAAACGAACGCGGAAGACTTTGTTGGGTACACTGTCCTCCGGCTGAGATTTGAAGAAAATTCCCTGTCTGTCTGATATTATCACTGAGTTGGACGGAGAGCAGTTGGTGAGTGGAGCGCATGAGCATGTCTCCAAATGGTTTACAAAACGAAGGTCACGTGACACAGAGAGTGACTTCTTTTCTCACACAAATTCTGTTCACTTCCATAGGCTTCAGCTGGAGCTTAACTCGTTTTGCTAACACAGCCGACAGAGCTTGAAAAATGACACTATATGACTTACCTAAAGTTGCTAAACCACTTGACCAGCTGGGCGGTATTATTTTTGTAGAATTTCACATCGGGAAAATATAGTTTGATCAGTGTTGAGTTGGGATAGCGAGTGTAGAAGAACATCAGCTTTGCTTTGCGTAGGTGGACAGGTGTCAGTGTACTGGTCTACAATGAGAAATGCGAGGTATTTCAAGGTAGTCTTTTCCTCACAAACGATAACGTTAGAAGCAAGTGTAAATAAAGATGGATACAGCATCAGAGGCAAGAATACCGATTCGACAAGATTTTTAGTGGAAGGTTTTCACGTAGAGCAGAAGTTACGTTTCAGTTATGCACAAGTTGAAAGATGTTTGGGAGATACTTGGCGCCATCCGATTCACGAGTTGCCCGTCACTGTGGCCTCCATAAGACAGCCACATGACACCTGCGCCTACTGAAAGACCATGGGGGGCTTGCGCTGAACCACCCACAGCTTTGTCCACACACCCCATATCCAATGTAAACCCGAAGGAATGAGAGCGGGAGGCATGTGATTAGGAGCCAACCCACACTCTTTCAGCATGCATAGCAGCAGCATTCCTGTCGATCTATGTGAGGAATCATGCGTACCAGGCGTACACAAGGCGGTGAGTGTGGTGTAGCCCGCTCCACTCTGGGTGCATGGAACCACACTCTGAGTCCTAGCACGGTCACGAGGACCGTGCACTTCGTCCCCCCCCCCCCGCCAAAAGATTCACAGTCTCCTGGATCCACACCGAGGAAAGCAAACGAATAACATAATTTTGTGGAAAGTACACATGAAAATGGACTCAGCAAATGCAAAAGAATACCAGAAATAAGCAAATCACATAAAGAGGAATATATTTTATCCAGGTTAAGAAAATTTAGTTCAAGTGTAAGTCGGTGTAGCCCAACTGCGTTGAAGAAGCATGATGTACGCAACATCAATCTCAGCATGATGCATATATTTAGGACATAACAATGTGGAGTTAGCAATTGCTTGCGCGATTGACGCCAAGATCTATCCTGGTGACTCCGGAACACTTCTTCTCACTGTCCGTATGAATCGATTCTGTATTGATTTTATCCTTAGGAGATGCAACGTGTTGTAGCACAACTATAGTGTTGTACGGCTGGAATACATAGCGTTCATTCTTAACTTTATATGGGGGGTGGATGGTCCCATATCCCACTACTACGCTTCATCATCTATTAACAAGCGATGAAGACTGAAATGTGCTAACTGACAACGAAGTGATTGTAAACTATGAGTACTAATCCAGGAAGAGCTGTTGATTAAACCAGTGTGAAGAAGTGTCAAACGTTGGGGAACCGCCGCACCGGTATTTTGCTGACTGCAATCGGGTTTGACAACCCTGGATCTCTATCCCAAACTTAGTTGTTTCCTCCCCCACCTTGGATATGTCCAAAAAACAATTTGATCTTGCCCTTGCCCCTAGCACTTCGTTGCTTAAACTGTGCTACTTTTGAATATATTAAGTATCCTTTCGAACCGGACTGATATGTCAGATAAACCTGAAGAGGCGGTACAGAAGTGGGTATTCTCGTTGTCACTTTTCTCACAGAGTACATCAACTATAACTGTCCCAATATTGTCGCATCTCTCGCATTCAATTCCCACTTGCACTACTCTTATTCAGTGGCGTACCTGTTGGGTAAACGCTCAGACGGCCAACCCAAGTATCTTTTGATAGTGTAGTTTTACTCCCACCATCCTGCAGGATCTCTCAAACAGCCACATGCCGCCTCATGTTGAATACGCAGTCCGGCCTTAGCAACTGACACAAGCAAGATGCCACCGAGCTCGAGACTCCACAACGAATAGCCAATAAGTAGGTCAAAGTATCGTTTTACCTCCCAAATTAACTTTTGCTTAGGAGCTTAGAATTTCACAGCTGTCAGTATCGTCACCTACGCAGCGACCTAATAATGATCTCCTAGATTGTGAGGAACCCCAACCACGTCTGCCACCAACTACTGTGACATAGTCACAAAGCACACCTGATAACCCATCAGTTCAAGTTGGTCACGCAATACAGCCGACTGGAATGCCGCGGAACTCTTAATCTCCTCCTGTTTGTCAGCCATGGAAAGCAAACGTACGGAATTAGGGACCCTGTTCTTGGAGGGATCGGAAGTTTCCTCCTTCAGCAGCGCCTTTCAGTTATGGGTTCGGGACTCATTTTCTGGCCCTAATGTTGTGAACTGTGGTGTTTCACAAGGATCAGTGTTGGGGCCATGCTTATTATTGGTCTTCAGTGAGGATCTCCCGTGTGTCATCTGGTCAAATCTCTTGCTTTTTACTGATGACATCAAGATATGGCCGGCCATTGGCTGTCAGGAAGATCGGGACATGCTGCAAAAAGACTTTGACCGTGCTTTTGTATGGTCAAGGACAAATCTACTTCCGTTTAGTGCGGATAAGTGCAAACTGTGCGTGTAAGCACAAGCCTACTAGCGTACACAAGCTTGGAGACCACATGTTGAAAGTCGCTTCACAGGAGAGCTACCCTGGGTTGATGATGCATGACGAACTCGGCTGTTCGGTGCAGTCATTGAAGATGTTCACAACCGCGAACAAACATGTTGTTCCCTTACGGAGGGCATTCGGGAGGTTCGACCCCTCCATCTTCCCCCAGACGCTCAATGCGTATGTGGCGTCCCCGTAAAGTACACGATCTAGGCCTGGCATCCCTGACTAGAACGCTATCTGGTTGCATTGCAGACCACACAGCGAAGGGATATTTTTCATTTGCGACTGAAAGCCCTGGTACAGTGGCAGTTATCGCCGTTTACGCGGCGACCTCATTCTAGCGTACCAGGTCTTTAAATCCCAAATCACGCTTGCTGCCACTTCCTAAATCTTGGCCGCAACACAAAGTTGAGGGATCATCAGCTGAAACCGGCCACCCGATGCAGTCAGCCGGATTGCCCCCTAAATTATTTTTCTCTTTGAATTTGTCAGCTATGAAACGTTCTTTCGACTTGTATCGTCGCATCGTCCACGCTACCCAGTCTTAAAAAACGACTCGACGGTGCATCTATCTGCATTACATGATTTGGATTCTGCACATTGATTGACGACAAGAGACAGAAAAACCTTGCGCCCACCAAACCCCACGAAATCGAGGGAAAAGGATATAACGTACGTAATTTACACAAGCCTCCCTCAGGACATGTCAAGCCCTGGCTTTTGTATCTGTATTATACCCTAGTTCCATTGTTCCATAATTACCTTGTTTCCGCCCCTACATTGTCTGTGTTTACAGAACGCCATGACGTTGCGCTAACACACCTACATTTCAATCTCTCGTACATGGGTAATAATGTAAAGATTTCATTTCGACGTCAATTTCTCATTTTCACTTTTACGATTCTCATTCCAGCCATCTCGTGGAACTTCTTAAATGCTTGCTCTTTGACGCCTACTATAATTTTCTATCGTCCATTTTCCACCTATTCTCGATTGTATGCATAACTACACGATGAGTTACAAGTTATCCATGGCCTCTATGTGGACCCAGGCATCCTGTCACTGTTGGCAGTCACGGTGATAGCTAGGCTGTTATTGACTAGTCCAGCCGTGCAACTCGACCGGCGTAGATCAGGGCCACAGAATTGTGTTTAGTCGGTTCGCGGTTAGGCCTCGTTCTTTTCATATTTTCCAGTATAGCGTATCTTTCGCTTCGACTTTTGTTTGATGATTCTGCCACACTTTCGTAAAATGTTATCTTGGCCACTTCAGAAGGATAAGGAAGCTGAAATCATCAACCAGAACGCATAAAACTGGTTAAAATTTCACTCTGACAATCGACCTTATTTTCCTTAATGTTCCGATACTCAACAATCGATCATCTTCCACCTCATTGTAGACTGAACTGTTGACATTCTTTACAAAACACCTTCTCTATAGTTTCCTCTGGCTATTCGCTCTACGTGAATCAGTTTTGCGACTCTCTAATTCAGTCCGTGTATATCATAAGGATTAGTGGAAGGTGCAGGTTTTCCAAGAGCTTGAGCAATTTCGCGAGGTACGTCATCTACCTATGAAAACACTGGCAAAATCTTGAGCAGTTAGCTGGTTCGCGTGTATCCGGACGATTCAACTCCAACCGGACAACTTCCCACCAGGGTTTGTTAGTTCTGAGGACCCGCTGATGAATCCACCACTTCTGATTTGCATTTCTACCCGTCCGTTTCATATTGTATTCACAACCGACTCTACGTTAGTGAAAGGAAAGAAAACCTACTGCTTTTCGAACGGAAGTTTGACAAACGGGAACCTTTAGTCGGTAAGAACAAAAGCTTCTAGTTGTCGCCGAATTTCGAAGTTCGATAACAGGAAGTGAGGGGAACTGGAGTCGAAGAAAGTGGTGTGAACCTTTGAGAAGTAGACAAACGTTTACATTGTACGCCTGTAAGATTCACACCACGTAGTGATCATGCGTCTACAGAGCCACTGTCCAATAAAGAAGCGTTTTGCAATGCTTTCTGAATTCTGTTGGAACAAAGTTAAGCGCAAGATTTAGTCTCGCTGACTGATAATATGGTAGAAAATCACTGGAAAAGAGGATTAAAACTGGATATGTTATCCATGTTGATCGAAGAGGCAAGTGGTTCAAGTGTTGGATACGTGTTCGGATACGGTCCTGGAGAACGGTATAACCGTGGTCTAGTTCCAAGTAAACCGAGGTCTCTATGGAGATTGTGTCGCAATCAAAACTTATGGGAGGTATTCCAAACCCAACTTTGTTTTATATACTTAAGTGATGGCGCGTCGCAGCCAGTTCCAAATCAGATAGTCGTCTAAATGCCCGGAAAAGCATTAGACTACAGTTTCAGCTAGTTGTGCATCATCAGTAGTGCGCAACCGTCGGATCCATCAGGATTCGAACACATGACCACCAGTGGATTGCACGCCAGTGAGCGACTTATGCCACTGGTCCACGGGAGACACCTTCGGACCGTCATGAGTTACAAGTTAACTGCGATATAGCGTGCCTTATCCTCCACTGTTTTCCAAGTTACGAATGTTGTAGAGGACAGAGTTTGCCCCGAAAGACAAGACATCCACTAACAGTAGCTATGTTGCGTGTGCAGTCGGCTGCCTGAGAGATACTACTGAACTGGACTCCCCAATAGCATTGTCCATGAAAGGCGAGTGCGTTCATGTCGAAATTCTACAGAAGCCGCTACTTAAACATCTAGTATGTGCTCAGTGCTAATTGACATGGTGAACAGAATTGAAAATGTTTGGGAATATTTCTAACCGTAGGCAGGAAGCTTCACCTACGCTTTCAATTTGTGAAACAACAAACTCTAACAGCTTCAACTTTTTCAGACAGTTACTGGTTTATCTCCAGATTCAGGTGTAGTGTTTTGTTAGCCCAGGTCGGCAGAAGCTCTTGTTGATGAGATGCTACACTAATTGAGATCAAACGTGATAACCTACACCTAAAACTGTTTAGTGCAATCATAACGACGGCATTGTTTTACTAATTAATGAGTGGGTCCCGTTCCTTTGCATCGCATATTAACACCGTTCGGTTCTTTTGCTCATCCTGTACAGGGCGTTTGCCTCACCGAATCGGTGGTTAGTCGATATTCACTCAAAAATTCTCTTCCCTTGTGTAACCTGTTTTCCAAATTCATTCGAAGCGCTTTTTCAGATTGGAATGGAGTTTTTTAGAACGCATGACAAGCATCTTGCTTTTTCTTCCTAGAGTGGGCCACGCATCTTTAAACATGTATGTTGCATCTCATTTGTTCGGCGGCCATTTCTTCTCGGTATCATGCGGTTTGTAGCTTCACATCCGTTGGCAATTCATCAGTCCATGCTTCATATTTCATAACCTCTGCAAATCCCCTGGGTGATAACATGGCACGTAGAGTCAGCATAGACAAGACCACCCCTTCAGCACTAAACTGAGGACGTGCATCACGGGTGTGACACCCTAAGACAAAGATTATCAAGGTAAGATTGTCGCGTGAATGTTATCACCACTGGTCCACTGCATAGAAAAGGTTCTAATCACAATCCTTGATGTGAATTACACATGGATGTTAGCACTCGAATCTCGATCACGATTCCCTTTCTCTGAATTGGAAATGTGATAGTCTTTAAAAATTGTATTCTTTCACTCCGATTACTCTATTCTACGTGCCTCGCTAGTTCTAGTGAAAAATTCTTCTGGTGACAAGGTTGTTGAGAATCCGACGGCTGATTCCCCCGATGAGTTCCAGTCAAACTCATAAAAATATGGGGTATGAAGTTTCTAATGCGCAATAAGGAAACAAAGAATGAAGTCCGATCGAAAAAATGGTATGCTGGTGGGTATGTTTAGACCCTTCTACCGTTACGATCAACCAGGTTCACAGAAGGTGACATGATAAACGTCTTGTCGGGTGTTGTATGGAACGGTTAGATGAAGTTTCAGAATTCGTAGTCTTCACCATGGGTAGACAAACCAAGATTGATCAATGCTAGCGTCCGTTAGTGTGCAAATTTAGTTTTGAGACAGGCAAACTGCATGGGATAACCGGTTTGATTGGAATGACGTGTAATGGTGGCGTGGAAAGCTGAGCCAAGCGACTGCTGTCGCCCTTGTTCACCGAGGCCATATCGCGCAATTTAAGGCGTTTGTGAACCCAATCCATTTTGAACTCTACAACTGCAAAACAACAAGCATCAGGCACAGGTTTGCTAATTTCAACCTGTGCTTCGAATTTTTGTGCCATACCGATCGCATTTATGCGGAATTCCCTTGATTGCCTATTTCAATTGTCAAATTCTATTCAGCGTGTGTAGTTAAGACGAAAATCATACTAGGCATTTAGAGGAGGATTACTTAGCTTTTTGCTGTCCGTGTTCACCTTAAGTGCTACGGTTTATCTGATTTGAGTAACTAGTTAAAATAAATGAGTTGTGTGTATCGCATAAACTTACCAGTCGCATACCATCTGAGCGATGGAGACTGGACGCACAGTCGACATCCACGGGGCTGCTTGAATTGCATCGAGAAATTGGGATGAAAAGTGGGTTGCTTGGTGCACGTCTCGTCGGACCTCCGGAGTGCTTCTCATAGGTTGTCAATGTGGGAAGCAATTTCGAGGCTTCGGAGAAACGGCCACGACCAGAGTTTAGTGCATCAAAAATAGGTCTGCCGTTACAGGGAAGATAAGGCGCTGTACAATGTGTGAGATCGGAACTAGGTCTTTGGCCAAACCACACATTCTTTGGGAAGGCTGTATAACTATCTATCTGTTCCATGAGAGAGTTCATCGTCCTTTGTCCTCGAGAGTTGGTGATAGGTTTCAACACTTTAGTAAGCGTTTGCTCAAAGTTGTTACCTTCAACCCCTTCAGGAGATACTGCAGTCGGTGAGTCATGAGGTTTCAAGTGGGGCATAGTGTCAGAAGTTTGTCGTCGGTCCGATGGGCCACGTAAACGGTCCGATTCTGTCATGCCATCCCTAGGACCACTTGAAAAACGAACAGAGCTAGGGGACGGGCTACTGCTACCGCTATTGAGTCGTGGTTCTTGGAAGAGTTGAGGACTTATCCAAGGATGGTTCACTCCATAGTCGACGCACCTTACTGGATAACGGAAGGACCCACCGTGCAGGTAGGTGAGAGAGCTTTTTGTGGCTTCACCTAGATCAGGTAGGGTTGGATAATTCTCGACGTTGCTTGGTTGACATTGGTGTGGTGCCCAAGTGTCTGTTGCTTGGCGTAAAGCACCACGAGCATTGAGACGAGTGTCTGTAACTTTGGTTCGTCGACGACGAGATACACTTGATCCACCGTAGGTAACAGAGACAGACGGCTGCTGAATACCAGCCGCATCAAAGTATAATGATGCAGCTTGAGCTCCTCCCTTCTTATTCTCTTCTCCGCTTTGCTCATTTTTTACGTTACGCCGTACCACAAGTGGTATTGCTTCTGTCTGCTCATCTGACTGATTTACTGGGAAGTTATTGGGAAGCACATATGTCTGAGCTGCTGTGGGCTGGTACGATGCATGAGCTAGGCCAGCGTTCATCGGAACATTGAGAGGAGGACAATGAGAGTGCACGCCGAATGGCAGCAGTGTGGGTGCGACAGCGAATTCGGGGCCTTTCGTGGGGGAAGTTGTAATGACGGGCCATGTTCCGAGCACTGAGTGCGGTGGCAGACTCTGAATGGTGTTTTCTACGTCAAATCTTCTGGAACCCCACAAAGGATTGACAAAGTTCAAAGCTGCAGCCAGTATGGAAGCTGCAGGTCCCTGATGACCCAAGGAGGGTGGTAAAGTTGGCGTAAACGTGGGCTGTGCAAGATATAAAGAAACTGTATCATTATAACAGGCAATTTATTGCAACTGACAATCCTAATGGTTTGCATTAATTCTGCTGAATACCATAGAAGCGAAAGAATATTGTAAGTATATGTATCAGAAAGGATTCCTCAGCGGTTGGAAAATCAAGATTTCATTCTCTGGCAGATAGTAATGAACTAGCACTCAGCCTTTATAAAGCGAATGTATGTTCCTTTTTTAGTGAAATTATGATGCAACTTGGAACTGGTTACACATTACTTTTTAATGTCACTCCATTATGGGTTCTGAGGTGGAGCAACCTTTGTCTCTAATTGTGAGCTAGGTAGGAGTGTTGTTGTTTAATTCAAAGCACACCTTTCCTAGTGAAACCATATGATTTGCTGTTCTTTGGCACTCAGTCTAACTGGTAGTTAATTCGATGCGGTGAAGGTCGACTGCCTCGTAAAACGTGCTAAACTTGCTGTTCGGGTAGTCTCGAAGCCCTCATACAATCTAGGTCGCTGTAGTGCATATCAAATATCACACACTTATTACGAGTGTCCCCAAAAATTGTTTACATGGGTTGACGGAGACAGTTCAACACTGCAGTGAACCTATGCCAACCTATCTCTGAGTAGCACAACTTCTAGTTTTGATGCTGGTATCCTAGGTGTCTAGCTCTAGTTTGAGTAAGAAGAAATGTTCAGCGATTGCCCAGTGAAGTTAGGTTCTGTCTGAATTTCCAGTCACTGAGTTGTGGAGTGCTCGCATTGGACATGGATTGAGACACGGATAGCACATTATGTTCTAGGTCACTTTGTACGCAACTGCAGTGAATTCGACCACTGTGACTGAGTTCGATGCAGATAATAGGTCTGTGTTCCTCACGGGTAACGTTGCACCCCAAGACCAGCATCGTTCATTTCTAAACTTTTCAAATAAGGGTACTAGCATTTGTGACTCAGAGATTGCAGGCAGGCATCATTACCCACATATCACCACCAACAACGATCATCCCAAAGATTAGAGGCTCACTATCTAAGTCAGAACACTTTTGGCAGTTTCGCCACTACATCATTTAATCGCGTACCAACTAGGGCTACCACAATGCTACCTGACTTGTTTATCCATTTTCAAAAGCCTATAAACATAACGTTGCTTCGTCATTTGTGCCTACCTGCTGCACTCGAGAGCCGGTGAGTGTGCTGTGTGGGCTTGTAATTCCAGTCCCAGTTTCGGTCAATGCAGCGGACGAAAATGACATCACTTCTGTACTTGGTGAACTAGAGATGGGAGTGTACTCTAGAGGTCGATGTTGACTCAAAAGCTGTTTACCCGATTGTGAAAGGGGGCGAAGCAGATGGGCAGGTGGGCTGAATGACTGGTGAACCCGACCGAATCCGGACATGATGGATGCCGCTCGCGTCTTATCTGCAATATATGCCGCAGCTGAGGTGGATTCTGAGCACAAGACAGGATGCTCTAGAGTGGAATTGTCGCTGGGTACACCTTTATTTGAGTCACTTTGGTTGTAATGAGGAGGTAAAATCATCCGCCGTTGCATCAGATTTTCATCCATGATCGACGGTCTTTTCTTAACCGAACATCCATTTTCCACAGAAGCTCTATCATAATAAGAGAGGTTGCGGTCGTTGCAGTCTGTATTAAAAGCCAGATTTCCAATTGAAAATAGTGGTTTCTGCGACTCGCTGCATTCGACAAACACTGGTTGTTCTTCAACTGTTTCAGCAGATAACCTGTGCTGCCAGTTTTCCGTTTTCTCAGCGGAGTGGAATGTCCTCGTCTCTAACTCAGGACAACCATTCACCGATGCTACGTCAACGAAAGTAGGATTCATGTTCCCTATTTCAGAACATGTTGTTGACTCAAACGGAAGTTGGCCTTTGACATTTGCAAAAGTAGATCGGAACGCTTGCTCTACAAGATGATAGATACCGGGCTCCATGTTGTTAAACGCTGTTTCAATTAGATGCTTAGGTTCCGCTACATCGTTTTGTCGCACGTGACAGATGCTGTGGAGCGCAGTTTCCACCGCCTTCTGGATCAACTCGTCGATCAATTTCCCGTTTTGTGTTGGTTTACGCAGACTGGTGGACCTAACTACTCTTTGCGGTGAGTGAAAATTATTCAACGCATGAGCTGCGTTGATCTGCCCGTGATCGTAGTCAGGGTAGTCGGATTCCGTTGTTGATTCTTCTTGCGGATCATCTTCGGACTCGGACACGTCAGTAAGGTGCGCTTTCAAGCGTGACACTGCAAACTTCTGTGGCGGAATAAGTGGTTTACGGCGCTTTCGTCTACTTGGCTCGAGCTCAGAGGATGCAACAGAAGTAAACCGAAAGTCCACAGCGTCTTTTTGCACATTTTCGTTAGCCAGAGTCGGAGGAGACAAGTACTGTCTAAAGGAGTCTTTATCATTCCCGAAGATATCATTCTTCTCGCCTTCAACGAAGTGAGATTGCGTGGTACGAGTCTCTGACTGATCGCTTCTACTATGAAGGCTCATGTTTTCATGGTCAGTCCCTTGTTTCGATCCACCACCTGCAAATTTGTCGTCGGTGTTAATAGATGACATCAGTTGACCGGTCAAACGACCGTGGCTGTCCATTGCCAATGATCCTGATACTGACTCCATACTTTCTTTTGCTCACCTTGAGGATGGTCAAGAGAAAAAAACAAAGTAATTCTGCATCAAAAATAAATTAATGTATAGGGATTCTAATCATTTAAAAAGCGAATGCGCCATTTTCATCGGAGGGCTTAGACTAAATTGTTTTCTCATTTCAGGTGAAGATTATCTGCCTCGATGAGTCAAACACATAAGGTTTTCAACCTGGCTGCTTAAGTTGGCACCATCCCACAAAAGTAGATGTAACAAACGTTAAACTATGGACAAACTTCACAACGTATCTACATATAAATGTTAAAACCGAATGAACCAGCGCCAGGAAACTGATTGGAGGCATCTTGAGAAGTTGGGTAAAAGCAATAATTTGCCATACAGATGCTCGCCATTTGAGGTTCCCTGCTGCAGATGCTCTAGACTTGGCGTTGCTTTCTTTTTAAAAGAATTTTCACGTATCTGCGAAATCAGTCTCAAGTGTTTTCGAACAAAAGTCAAGTATTTTTTTGGAAATGAACCACTGGTATTTCATGAACAGCCAGTCGTTTCCTAAGCATTATCATTTCCAGCTGGGATTCAACCAATTAAATTGCTGTCTAAACAGACATTTAGGCACACGGTGGTTACCGGTAATCAAGTTTCGTTACCATTTCCCTCCGGGCCACCAAAGTTTGCCCGTTGACAAATACAGTCGACTTCTCTTGTGGTACTCTGACGATGTCCATTTAGACTAAATTGTACCTTGCAGATTCTACGGTCACCATTTCCCCACTCGGCTTCGGGGCCATTTCCCCACACTGAGAACATGTATCACGTCACCCGGGTATAAACTGCATCCCATGGGCAAAAGTTTACCACAACATGAAACATGGTCCTCAGACTGCCGGCTGTCAAGGTACGCATTAGTTTACCTCCTCCAGTTTAATGAAAGCGTTCTTTATCGACAATGATATTTGAGTAGGGGGTGGGGCAGACGTAGCAGCTCATTCTCAGCGCTACTGGTCCCCGTTTGCACATGCGTGTCTCACTCGCGCCGACGGGAATCAATGGCATTACATCATCCCCGGTCGAATGGACAAACGTCGCAACACGGCATGCGTACATCAAGCGAAGGCACTCCGCAGCCACATTCGGTCTCAGTTTTTGGATTTAATTTCTCGACAACTCCCCTCAAGCCATCACTCACGTGATGACAATATGGGCACAAACAGTCGCAGTTATCGTACCAAACAAGCGCGCACACACACACACAGCCGCATGAAGAACCGATGAGATGCAACCGTGTAACTAACTGAAACAACGTCTGACCGATACACTTTCTAGGAGTCGAACTTTTATCGGTCATAGGGACCGCAGCGAAGTGCTCGATGGTATGCGCCTGAAGAGACACATGTGAACTCCGGAGCAATTCCCAACCCAGACAATCGGTTTTAGAAGTGTGAAAACAAACAACCCATTGCATGAAACGGGCCCTGAGGGGAATAGTTCTCCCGGCTAATTAGGTTATAGGCCTAAAGTGATCGAAAGTCCAGAATCAACTTTCCCCAAAGGAGAGTGTGACAGATGATAAGGATATTGTTTGGTAAGCTCGTCGCTTGGTGAGGGGGCTACCCTGTCCTCTGCACGGCAGTAACGTGTAAGTCAGTGGATAGTGAGCGGCGCTATATCACATCTAGTAACTTATTCACGATAATCGTTGCCGTCCCCCGTAGCTCAGTGGTCTCTACCACGGACTGGCAACAGTCGAGTTGCGGGTTCGATCCCTACCAGGGGTCCGATGGAATGCGCACTGCTGATGATTCCCGAAAGAATGAAACGCGCGTACAGTGCTTTGCTGGGCGTGTGGAGGTTGTCTGAGTGAGTCTAGATATGACGAATTTCTACCTATAATATTGTTTTTCCGATGTCCAAACTTTTTGTGAAGTGGGCCACATTTTGTGGGGTAAAAATATGTCGGGTTATATTCAGTTCGGCAGTATGCTAATAACAAAAATGTCACATATACTAAACAATTCGCCTGTATTTATTATTTCATGATAAGGCCGCGGGCCAGTTGATATGTTAACGCGGGCTGCATTTGGCCCGCTTGCCGGGCTTTGGACATCCCTGCGTTACTCGGTTCAGCCTCCTGTTTCCGCAGAGAGTCTAGTGGCTTTGAGCAATGCAGGTAACATTTGTGATCTCGTTGACCGGAATGGCGAAGGTTCACTTCTAGGCTGTGTCGCAATTCATCCACACAGCGTCTGCTTCAAATGAACCAACAGTGAGTCGCTAAGCAGTGATAAGAGTTGACTATTTTCGCGTAGGGGTGAATGAACCAGCTGGTAACCTGCACGTTCTGGAATCGCGCCGCAATGCTGTCGTCTATACCTGAAAACCGTAAAGAAACGTGAAACTGGTCTTAGACTACACTGTTTTAAACGGGTGACACAAAACACCTATGCCTAGGCCTGATGAAGTCTTTGCGTCAACAGTGAAACGTTGTCCATCACCATAAATACATTAACCGGTCGTCTAAAAAGTTTTCTGAAATGATGACTTCCCGATCGGTTCCAAATATGTTCCAAGATATTGAGCACCTATGCGGAGCATAATGTTAGAAAAGGATAGACGTAGTAGTCGTATGCGTTCTCATTTCTTCACCCTCTTGCTCACTGTAGATCCAAGTTTTCTGAGACAGCCTGGTCAATGCAAAGATTTTAAAGCTACTGCTGGTCGAAAGCTAGGACAGTTCTGGATCACGTTGTCATTCAGTCGGTGGACGGATTCCTCCTTATTCCGATGGTCAAGGTGGATATTCTAAACAACGATCTTGCTGCCATGCTTTAAGAGGCATACCGGGTTTCCGACCCGACTCTGCCAGCTGTGCATGTGCTAGTTCCTTTCGACAGCATGACACACGAAACTTTTGGTTCTAGCGATCGAAATGGCTGTTATATTCTTCGCTCTGAAGGGATCATTTTGTGACTACTTCGTAAGCTAACCTAGTACCGTGGATACTAACTTGAGCGTCCAAAGATTAGTAGACGCTATTAAGACGCAGATCAACACACCATCATCTTACCGTTACAAAAGTATAGCAGCGAACTCCATTAGATCTTAAGTATCTTTTCTTTCGCAAAAAATCAACTTAACATGACCTAACGCATAGGTGTTCACATGCTTCCCTCTGGTTGCCCATAGCAAGTGGTTTTTCATAGCGGACTCATAGTTTACGGTTGGGTTTGAAAGACCACTCTTAAAACGCTTGAGAACTGTACGGAACATTAAGAGAGTGCTCACAGGATAAATAATTTTTGAGACATTTTTCATTTCCCGACTTTATTTTCGCTACCGTTATTGGATGGAAGAAGTCGCGGGGCTAGACCCAACATGTCTTGGCGACGGAGGTATTGAACAGCTAGGGGCAGTTTGTTTGAAAAGATGTAGCGCTTCTCCAGTAGTAGTAGTAGTAGTAGTAATAGTAGTAGTAGTAGTAGTAATAGTAGTAGTAGTAGTAGTAGTAATAGTAGTAGTGGTAGTAGTAGTAGTAGTAGTTGTAGTAGTAGTAGTAGTAGTAGTAGTAGTTGTTGCTGTTGTTGTTGTTGTTGTTGTAGCAGCAGCAGCAGCAGCAGATGCAACAGACGCAGTTCAAAACCAGCGGCGGCTAATTGTTACGGTAGAAGCGGAACATCCATGATGAAACTCTGAGCACAATTGCAAAGCCTAGCGTGGACGCCATTGCCGCACCAGTTTCGGAGTTCGATTTTGACGGACTGACGGGTGTAACTTTCGAGTCGTGATTTCAAAGATATGAAGATATTTTCCTCGTAGAGATGACTGAACAAGATGAGACCTGGACGGCTCGGCTGTTGCTAAGGTACCTGGGTGCAGTCGAACACGAATGGTACAATAACTTTGCATTGCCCACCAATCCGACGGAGTTCAACTTTGAGGAATCAGTGAAGACTTTGATACAGTTATTCGGTGAGCAGACCTCTTTGCCTAGTATTCTGTACAACGGTTTAAAATTGGTCATGATTTTGTCACCCTGTCGGGATCTGGACCCGCGAATGTGAACGCTCCAAACTGGGCACGAGGACTACTGATCAGTTTCCTAGCCGTAATTTCGCATACCATCTGCAACCGCATATTAATGTAAGTATTCGAACACCCATTCTCCACAAGGCAGAACAGGAACCATAACTGAGGTTACAGATCACATCCGAATACCAGCGACTAATCGACTTGAAGCATGACATAAAAATGCTTGAAACCGCTGATTCCAAGACAGAACCCGTGTATCCTCATCCCTGTTCGCAAGTGTTCTCACTATCAGTAGTGGGTAGAAGCAGTTGTGGGGCTCATCACAAAACAGAAAAGCTGTAGTGATGGTCATTCAGGAAAAATTGACGCATTTTTGCACCAGTGTTGCAAGAACAAGGGCAATCAGCAATCCAGCGACCTCGGCAGTCTTTCTTTGGCTTCGATGTCCCTTCGTACCACTCCCATTCTAGATATTCGTAAGCAGTTGGATACCATATTTATGGTACTTTTAGCAAAGACGAGCTTGATCTCAGACTTAGGCCCCGGTGCTGATGAATACGATCGAAGGGACCGCATTACCAAACCGTGTATCTATCAGCTTCCGTAAAAACACTTAGGCAGACTTGTTTAGATATGATTTCATTGAACACCGTCGTGTGATTATTGATACCCACCTTATTTCAAGGAGTTACTTATTGGAGGCAGTACACCGTAAATTCCACCTAACTTTACACTGTTTTCACTTTCCTGTTCTGTGTGAAGTATATTCATAACGTTATTCTAATCGAGGATGACGTTCCTTGAGGCCTTTTCCGGGTGCCGTCTCCGGATTTATTCAAAGCAAGGGAAGGTAATAGATGAGCATTTATTGAGATTTTTGAGTCAGTGACACTGAAGCATAAGCAGCCACTTCGATAATCCAGCTCAGTCATTCTAATACACGCAATGTTGTTGTGTCTTTCCTATTTGAATGTTCAGAATCCGCTGTCCCCCTGATTCGAC